CTGCATTCAGCTCTGACAAACTGTAGCAAAACATTGATTAAAACGGAAATGGTTGTGTGTTGAACGCTCCGTTGCGTATGCAAACATTGCATCTATGGCAGCTGAGAAGGCCATTCTTGGCATCCTTTTAAAGAATGTTTGGAGCCTGGTTGAGAAAAAAAAAAACACTTTAAAATACTTAAGACAAACATCTTATAACGTATTAATAGCTGGGTACAAGCTGCATGTGTAGAAGACTTCATTAGAATCTACTGAGTGCACTGCCTTTTTAATGCAGCAGGTTTTATATACACATTGCTGCTGATTCATTAGCACCTCTGACACACCTATCAAATGTGAGAAAACGTACCTCAAAGCCCATTGCACACTTTTTTGCACAACATTTTGATGAAACATGTTGTTTAACCCAGGAACCATAGCAAAACTGTGCACAACGTTTTGAGACTGAAGGTGCCCCAGGTCTCGCATAGCTATTAGGAGTCCCATTTTTTCTACATCCTGCTGCAGAAGGTTCTACACAGATCCTTTTTGAAAAGGGTTCTATATAGCACACAAAAGGGTTCTTCAATTGTTACAAACTTGACATCGTAACAATAGAAGAACCATTTTGGGTGCTATATAGAACCCTTTTAAAAAGGTTCTATATAGAACCATCTACAGCACATTCTGAAGAACCTTTTAATAATGCAAAGGGTTCTTTGAGTGTTCATGGTTCTATATAGAACCACTTTCTTTGCTAAAGAACCCTTAAAGAACCATGAACCTTTTACTAAATGGCCTTTCTGACTGGACAGTAAATGAATGAAAGGCGATCTCTGACTTTCGCTCAGTACTGTGTTAAGAATATTTGTCAAATTACTAAGAGTGGAAAAATAACGGAAAATTAGGAGAGGACAGTTAGTATTCAATGACTGTTACAAAAAAAGAAAAACATTTATATTTACATCATTTAGCAGACGCTCTTATCCAGAGTGACTTATGAAAGTGCTTTGGTGTTTACTCAGAGTGTATCTTAGCTAGTGCAAATAGGTTAGAGAGAAAGGTACTCCTGAGCTCAGATGTTGATACCTAGAGAAAAAGAAACAGAATTAGACACAGCAGAAGTGCAATACAATACATTTCAATAAGTGCTTAACTTCGTGCTCACTTAAGTGCTGTAAAAAGAAAAAGTGTTCAACATCAAAACTACAGAACAGCATCCTCTTATCTGCTGGGTTGCAATAGCATGAAACTTTCATGAATGTCTTTAAAGCAGAGGCACTAGGGGGAATCAGTCTAGGATAGTTTGATGACTTCTCTGCTCTGACGCACCTGATTCAACTCATCAGTTAACTGGCAATTTTAAAAAGTGTGATAGAGCAAGGTAATCACCAAACTAACCTGACCCGTGGATTCAGATGGGTACCCCATCTTTATAAGAACAGACCCCCCAGCGCTATATCTACAGTGCTGCTTGAAAATTTGTGTGCCCTTAGGCATAATGTAAATTTCTGCATAGGTTTGACCTAAAATGACATCAGATCTTCCTTTCAGTCATAAAATAGATAAAGAGAACCCAATTTAATGAATAACATAAGCCATTAATTAGGTTTTAATTCATTTATTGAACAAAGTGATCCACCATTGTATATTTATGCTGCTTAATGTCCCCTGAATGTCATTTCTGCAACTGCAATGACCAATTATTAACGCTGATGAATGTCCTCAGAATGTCATAACTTTCAAAACGTACAGTCGACACCCTTCTAACGTCTTGCATGTAACGTTTTGCACTGGACCAAAACAGAATGTTGAGGGGATGTCGCTTGTTAGATGGGTAATTTGGTTGGCAAAAGTATGCGAACCTCTGGAATGAACAGACTGGTATAGGTGATAATTAGGGTGAGGATGTTCAACCAGATGGATGACATTGTGGCTTTTAAAAACATCGACCTGAGTCTTTACCATCAACGTCTGGTCTTTACAACACATATTGGTTAGTGCATGCCATGTCTCAGTCCGGGGTGTCACTAGACATTTACGGACAGGGGCTAGGCCTTAACTAAGTGGGTCTAGTTGACACACAATAGATCTCTCTCTTCATAGTGTGTATTAAGCTCCTTGCCTGTGTTTAGTAACATGCTATTTTTATTAAACTCAGAATTACAAGACTTCAAAGGTCAATGAGTTCATTTTTTGTTTGACCCAGCAAAAATCTTCTCACCTGATTCTACGGAGCTGCCACTCTTAATTACCATCTACAGACTGAGGAATTCAGGGATATAAAACTATGACACACCAATATTAGCTAAATGTAGTACAAACAATATATACCTAATACTGGTGTATGAAGATATTAAATAGAAATGTGAAAAAATGATCTGTAAAGTTTTTTAAAATTCTTAAACTATTTAGTTCTTCAGCTAGCTAATGTTCATGCTTTATGGTCTATCCCCTTTTCTTAACCTCGCGTTAATATAAAGTTAGCTTGCTAAGTTAGCAAATGACTAAAAAAACTCGATTGCCAGCTTTATTGACCAAAATTTGCACAAATTAATATTGTAGATATCTTCACTCTGTAACTACTTGCTGTTTTATTCTGTATATTCTATATTTTGACTAAGGCCTAATCTTTATTTTACTATGCGTTTAGCTAAAATTCTGTCACAACTTCAATGGTTGGTGACTGATGCTACTTTGCAGAGTAAGTAGCACCAGAGACCCTCCCCCAAGTCTGATGTGAATGGCTTTCAGCTTACAAGGACCGATATGATTAAGTTACAACCTACAAGACCTGGTTTACAGCTTATGAGGTCTGATATGATTGGCTAAACCAGAATTACACTTTTTCCCAAAGCTAAACTGCAGAGGACTGCAAGCTCCTGCTGTTATGTTAGAAAATCTCTGGTAGCACCATAGAGGCAGTGGATGATTAGAGCAGCAGCAGCACCTCCCCCAGTTTGCGCCTTGCTATCATAGTATATTGTGAACTGGAAGTTGAACAATGAAGAATAAAGGCAAAATACTTTCCTAAAACTGGCCTAGCGATGTCTCAGTCAAATAGGATTTCTGAGGACCTCCAAAAAACATTTGTCACTAGGCTGGAAGAAGTTTTAAAACTATTTCTGACAAGTTTGGACTTCACTGATCCACCGTCAGGCAGATAGTGTACAAATGGAGGAAATTCATACCACTGTTACCCTTCCCAGAAGTGTTCATTCAACAAAACTGACTCCAAGAGAAAGGTGTATAATATTCTGAGAGATCACAAAAAATCTTACGGTAACATCTAAGGACCTGCAGGCCTCTCTAACACTGGCTAACGTCAGTGTTCATGAGTCCACCATCAGGCAACCACTGAACAGGAACAGTATGTATGGAATGACAGCATAAAGAAAGCCATACATGAGCCAGAAGTCTGAAAGAATGTTATGTAGATCTTTATGGGTAAAATAAGAAATGTTATGTTCGGCAAAAATCAAACACTGCGTTCCAGCATTAAGAACTTTATCTCAACTGTGAAACACAGTGGTGGCAGTATCATGATTGGGGGCTGTTTTGCTGCTATTGGACTAACACAGCCTGCCATCATTTGATGGAGCCATCAATTCTGGATTGTATCACGAAATTCTACAGAAGAATGTTAGGGCATCCATCCTGACCTGAAACTCAACAGAGGGTGGGTCCTGCAGAAGAACAATGACCCCAGAAACACTGGTTAGTCTACAAAGAATGGTTAGCCCAGACCTTAATCCAACAGAAATGTTGAGGCAGAGCCAAAGGTGTGACGTTCATGCAAGAAAGCCCATCAACATAACACATAATAAACAGAGGTGAAGCAGTTCTGTAAGGAGGAATGGACCATAATTCCTCCTAGTCAATGAGCAGGGCTGATCAACAGTTACAGGAACCACACACACACACACACACACACACACAGACACAGACACACATACACATTTTCTAAGCCGCTTGTCCTTCTGGATCACGGGGGGAGCTGGAGCCTATCTCAGCTATCACTGGGGGGAAGGCAGGAAACACCCTGGACAGGTCACCAGTCGTTACAGGAACCATTTGTTTGAAATCATTGCTGCTCAAGGGGGTAACTACAGTTACTGAAAGCAGAAGTTCCCGATACAAAGATATCCTCACACAGCTGGTAGTAGTAGTAGTCTGAAACTCTGCCAATTTTTACACATATTTTAACCACATGTTCAACTGCTTCCTGTAACAGACATTTTCCAAAGCACTTTTCCAGAAACGCCTCCTAATAAGAAAGCCGAGAGAAAAAAAAACTGACTTTAACAGTATGTGGAAGAACCACCCAGAGGAAGCAAGACTGAAAAGAAGAAACACATTAAGAGCATAAGCATTGGTGCAAATTCCAGGGGTCTTAAGGAATATACTTCACCTTTTCCACCTTTTGAAAATACACAAAATAATTTTAGGGCTGTCCCAAATACCATTTTTGGGCTGTGGAGCTTCAGCAGTAATCAACAGTGAATATTCAAAACCTTTCCCTGCAGTGGGGTGGGGTGTTGGGGGAGTTGCTGAGGGCTGAGAAAAGAGCCACCAGATATCAACTGTCACACAGCTTACAGTTTAAAACTCTAATTTAAGCCAAAATAGTTTTGTTTAATTATAGTCAATAACAGCAAAAGAAAGAAACGCTGACCTGCCTGGAATCGTTTTCAACACTAAATATGTATGACACTATTATTCTATTATTATTCTTGATAATAATAGGCCTTACTCACCAACAGTTTTTACGAAGAAATTTCTTCTTAAAACACATTTATGCAGTTTCCACGATGATTCTGACATTCACCAGTGTTTTCATATTTGGGATTTGTTCTTAGGTAAGAACAGAATCTACACACATTCAACAGCACACATTTTTAAACAATTCTTTTATCGAAGATTTATAATTCGTTTAATAAAACGTCACAAATCTCATGTAGACTTTTTCTTAGGACAAATTTAAGAAAAAACTTAGGAAGATATTAGTGAATGTCTGAAAAACATCAAATCGACATACAGGTTGTTAGATACAAGAACCTGGTGATCTCTAAATATTTGCAATATTTATCCTAAAACTGCATACTTGCCTGCTTTTGTTGACATTACAGATACACATCCGACCCTGATGTCCTGAATCTTCTTTTCTCGTCCTATCACAGCTTCATTATAAAGTATCAATAAGAAACTTTTTTCTTTGAAAAGCAAGTAATTCCAAGGGTCAAGTGAGATATCACCCAGTAAAAGAAAATAAAAGCCTTGGAGAAGCAGCGGGTGGCCAAGACTAATCAACTTTATGTAGCCAATAACATTTTATGTTGTTGCTGTTAAAGCTTACGGGCTCAATGAGGTGAAAATAACAACCAGTGAAGATGATTCAGGACTGGCTCAGATTCAAATGTCTTTTTTGTTACCAGAGTGCAGTGCTTGTTTTTCACCAATAGAGTGCAGTGCAATGTTGGCAGTGGAGAGAACTATGGATACAACGTATGTGGTGGGATCACCTCTTAGTACATAATCTAAAATAAAAAGCTCAAGCTTTGTTTACATGGAGAAATCTCTAATCTCAGATTATCTCAGATTATGTAATGCAGGCTGTCTCTTCACTGACTGGCTAGGATTTAAATTCCAGATTAAATGGTAGGCTAAAGCCAGCTGTCAATCATTTGTGACAATTTTAATCACTTGTTGAGGGAGCATGATATGTTATTTTAGTTGAGAGAGGGATGTTATGGCTCAAAGGCCATACCTAGACTACAGAGGGAAAATGTCTAGAAATGCAACATGTGATTCAGATAAAATCTGCATACATTTCCTTTTTATACTTTTACTACACATAACAGCAAATACTCAAGCAGCACTGGCAAAGTCTGGAAAAATCTGGCCTATATACATCTGCCTATTCAGCCTAGAGCAGTTTAGCCCTGCCCATTCATGCTGAGGTTATAAGGAGTGTTTCATCCTGGACTGCTTTTTAATGAGGCACAATCAGAATAGAGGATAATTAAATATCAGGTTTAAAGGCATAGTAACAAATGCCTTTAAACCTGATATCACCCTGTTTAATTCAATGGGGTAAAGAGAGGGTGGAAAATGGTCATATATATGCATCTCAGGGGGGAAAATGAAATGAAAATGTAGAATATAGGCCCTTTAAATAGGCTAACAGTAGTTTGAAGTTGTATTCTGTCCTCTGTTACACTATAATAATTTGAATAATGATCAGTCCAGTAAACACCGGGGTTTTATTATGTTTTATTTTTTGCCATATTATGAAGTACTGTGGTACGACACTTGGTATCAGTATTAAAGCCGAAACTGGTATTGTGACAGCCCTACATTACACCCCAGAAGCCCATTGGGTGGCACACTGCAGAACAGACTCACCATCCTTCTGCTCCAATGCAGACAGGCCTTCAGCCAACTGTGTCATCAGGGACTCCAGCAGTAGGCACAGCCTGGGAGTCCAGCTGTGCGGAACATAAATACTTTGTGGGTCTTAGAGTCATTTTAGCTAGAACAACTTTATGAAGACAATTAAAAGACAATTAAAAATCCTCTTCAATAGCTTTATAGTTCAGAAATAAAACCTCTCTTAACTCACTTTGACCAAAACATTTCCAAAGTTTTAAAATGTATTTACCTATTTATTACATTTCTGTTTGTATTCTAATACTTTACTTATTCGTGTATGGTTTGCAAGCAGTGAAAACATAAACAAGCATGCAAAACTGAATCTGAGGTGGGATACGGTACCTTCACCCTCTTCACATTAACAGTGGAAGGGTCATCACTTCATCATTCCCAATTTCAGAGTAAACCTTTAAGAAGTGAATAATAATGATTCAGTCACTGAGATGCAAACAATGTCATTCAGAGCCGTTTGATGTGAAATGGTTCATTATGGAGAAACTTACCAACAGATTTCTTTACAGTGATAGTGATCGGAACCAGGGGTCACTATGTCTAAAACCAGTGAGCCTACATGTGTCTTCTAAGCTTTTATACGCAATGTTGATAACAGTAAAATAGTGCTAAATCTGAAAATAATGACAGTAATAATAATTTCTTCTTGTACTGTTTTGCCCTATAATACATGTACTGCTCAACCATGAACAGGTTTAAAACATGTCTTAGGACAACACCTTCTCAAAACTATTATAAAACAATGTCTCAGGCATCAGGCAGACTGTTCATGACCATTTCATATGTGGGAGGGTTTAGAGGCATTAATTAATTAGATTCCACCAATTTTTAAAAGATTTCTACATAATAAAATGGTTCAGATGTAAACAAAGTCAACAAAGTCAGAGTGGTTTGATGTGAAATGCTCTGTTTTAGAGAAAGAAGTCAGAATTGTTCACAATGGTGGTGATAGGAACCAGACGCTGCCTGATGTCTGAGACATTGCTTTGCGATAGTTTTGTGATAATGTTTTGGCTTAAAATGTATTTTAATTCATTTATTTTAATCCATCCATGGCGAAGAAGGGGTACATGCAGAGTGTTATAAAGCAAAATAATCTTCAAAGAAAACTTATTTTTTCAGATTAATGTCTATTTCACCATCACCAACATTATATGTAAGATCTCCTTACCCACTGCTCTACAAAGAGTCTCCTTACTGCAGAGATGGTACTGAACTCCTGCTGCCTGAACTGTGCTAAACCACATCACTATATCACCTCTCCTGTTAACACACACTGCGCAATATATCATAACCGCTGTTGTGACACTTTCACTGCGTTGTAAACTACCTCATATCACTTAGTGCAATACCTGCTCTCATGTAAATACAACAAATCAGTCTTATATGCTATGTAAATATGCAAATAGAGATAGGTTTATTCCTACTCTCTCATACTTTAACTTATGTCTATTTTTATTTCTGCCTCATGTATGTAAGTTTATGTGTGATTATATGTCTTGCAAGTGTAACACTGCAATTTCCCTTTTGGATCAACAAGGTTCTATCAATCAATCAATCTATCTATCTATCTATAAACTCAGAAGACACATGTAGGTTCACTGGTGGTTTTGGATAGTAAAATAATGGCCATATTTGTGTTGTAGACATTGGTTCCTCTGTAAATAAATCTGAGTCCAAGTTTCTCTATAATGAACCATTTCACCATCAAACCACTGTAAACGACTCTGTTTACATCTCAACGACTGAATTATTGGGAAATTTTGAAAACAGTGGTGGAATTCCCCTTTAAACTGTTCAGACGTCTGGCTCCTATCACAACCACTGCGAACAAGTCTAACTAAGTTTCTCCAGAACAGAGCTTTTCACATCAGACTAGTCTGAATGACTTTGTTTACATCTCAACTACTGAACTATGCAGACATGTTGACCAATAGGTTTAACCCCCGTCCCCTTTTTCATTTGTTTAGCATGCAGATGCCAAACAAATTTGCGGGGAACATCAACACAAAACCCAGGAGACAGCATTCACGAATGCCTCCGAGGTGTACCTAGCTCCAAGACACTGATGTGAAACGAAATAAAAGTAAAAATCTACAAAAATTGGCTACATTTGTGAACAGCTTTGCGTTTTTGTACCGGTCTATAAAAGTGACACTATAAAAGCGCCAAACCTCCTCACACGTCTAGTCTGTAGGCAAATTAAAGCCATTAGTCCATTAATTAATCTGCGAGACCAAAAACATCACAAAAAGATGATTTATGTCCAGAAACATAAGAAACAAACCCCCTGCAGCAGGAAACGAGTGCACGTATGTGCGGGTTCCCACCCACTAGCGCCGGAACCTTTCTTTCTGTAGCCGTTGCTGTGTTGCACGTATCGAGGCTCGGCTATGTAGTGACAGCAGCAGCGGAGGCAGAAGAAGCTGTAGGATGGTCCTGCTGTTGCTCCTGAAGGGGGTCCTAAAGGTCCTGATCTTTTAACTAATACGTCTTAAAATGCCCTTTTAGCCCCCCTTTCGTGGGCGTCGTTCTTCGGTCGGTTCATGGTGGTGGACTGCCCCGTGTTTTCGGGCGGGTGGAGGAGGAGGAGGAGGAGGAGGCTCTCCGGGTTTTTCTTCTCCTACTTTTATTTATTTGTTTAGGATGGCGCTCCGTGACCGAAACAGATCTGAAAACAGGAGCGGGTGAGGGTGTGTAGGCGACCGGGTGCTGTCTCTGCCTTTCCTCCACCTTCCTCCGTCCGTCCGTCCGTCCGTCCGTCCGTCCATCAGTCCCCTACTCGGGTGGGTGGCTCCAGCAGCTACTACAGCCCCACCAGAGGGAAGGAGAGAGGGAGAGGGTTTCTACTGCTGGCCTGCTCGTAGTGCCCGCACGTACACACACCATGGGAAACACGACCTCCTGCTGCGTGTCCTCCAGCCCGAAGCTCCGCAGAAACGCTCACTCGAGGCTGGAGCCGTACCGCCCGGAGCCCGAGCTCAGCCGAGAGGACACGGGCTGCAACCTGCAGCACATCAGCGACAGGGAGAACATCGACGGTAGGTGGTCCGTGTGAAGTGTTAAGCCCACACTAGGGGTGCTGGACGCAGCCTAGGTAGCCTCGACGGCACGTCATCAATCATACACTCCTAAAAAAGAGGGTTCTTCAAAGGTGGTTCTGTTCAGAACCGTTTGCATGCATGATTAGATGGTTCTTTGCATGGAGAAATGGTTCTTCGGATTGATGGAAAATGTGTTGTGTATATATGGTTTAACAGAACCTTTTTGGCTCTATAAAGCACCAAAACAGTAAAATAACTACATGTGGTGCTGCACAGAACCATTTTCAAGAGATTCTCTATGAAACCATATATGCAACATGTTCTCCATTACTCTAGAGAACCATTTCGGCATGCACTACATACTATATAGAGCTTGTGGTTTTAAACGGAACCATTCCCTTTTCTTAAGAACTTGTGAAGAACCATGTTTTTGAGAGTGTGGGTGGTTCTTGGTGCCATGAGCCCAGCTCAGTGGCTTGGCCAAGCACTTTTGAGACCTTAAGTAAATGTACCATTAGGTGGTTTGTGGTGCCCAGATCTCGGTCTAAGTAGCCTTGACACCACCTCAGCAGAGATAGGCGGGTCTCAGATTAGAGGAGAACTCCACAACTTTTTCAAGCTTTCTGCATAATTAAGTCACAAGGATGTAAACAGAGTCACTCCAAGTGACTTTGTGAGTTCTGGAGAAGCTTACAAAGTCAGAATTGTTAATAGTGGTGGTAGGAATCAGACGTCCGCCTCTAAAAACTACCTCACAGATGCCTGACCTGTTTTATGATCATTTTTAAACAAGGTATTTGGCCCAAAACATATTTTTTTACAGAGAGGTACATGCAGGACACGCTAAGGCAAAATAATGGTATTTTTCTTTTTAGATCTACCACTGTTTTACCGTTATCACTCAGTAGACCTGTGTTCACTGGCGGTTTTGGTCAGTAAACAGATGGGCTGTATTTGTACTGTGGACATCACGACCCCTGGTTCCTATCACCACCACTGTAAAGAAACTGATTTGGTATGTTTCACGACTGCACCATTTCACATCAAACCACTCCAAATTACTATGTGTACATCTCAATGATTGAATTATGCAGAAATAAAAAAAAAGCTGGTGGAATTCCCTTTTTACGTGTTAAGCCCAGACTAACCATGTTGGACGTAGCCTAAGATGGCACATCAGCAATCAAAATGATATATGGTGCCATGAGGCCAGCTCAAGTAGCCTGGATGGCGCATTAGAGGCAGTATATAACTTGACCATAAGTGGTTTGTGGTGCTCTGACTTAAGCCATCGTAGCTTTGACGGCACCACAGCAGTGATAAGTGGTTCTTGCTGTTGTGACCCCTAATCTGTTCTGTTGAAAGCGGCCTAAGTAGTGTAGATGAGTGTAGATATCCTGGGTTTTTGGTCACCTCTAAGTATCACTGATGGCACAAAAGCAGTGAGAGTATAAAGTGGCCCCACAAAAGTGTTTGGACATATTTAAAATTGGTTAACTTCATAGTATTAGGGAAAAAAATCAAACCAAGAGGTGTTTATTTGAAACAGACCATTCCAAGACCTTACAAAAGATGTTTTCTTTGCAGACTTCTTTAGGTTCGCACCCAGAATGCCTTTGTACCCTTCTAAATTCATGGTGCCATCAGTGACCACAAGCTGACCAACACCATTGTAAGAAAAACAGCCCCAAACGTCGATGCTTCCATCTCTGTACTTTAGCTTTAGGTCAGTCTGGTCTTAAATCTCCTCCAGGTGTTCTCCACGCACAGAGACTCCCATGATTTTTTGCTAAAATGTTTTTCTCTGATGCAGACATCGTTTTATGAATGGACTAAAAAGCTTCATTAAAGTTTACCAATGGATCAATTGTCCATCTACTTTGTGTATTTACTGACATTAGTTGGTTACTGTGATCCCAGCCTAAACAGCTAAGATGGCAGATCAACAACAGGAAGAATATCATAAGTTATTTTGGCAGGTGAGAGTGACAAGCAGCACTAAGGCCCAATCCCATTTCTTGTTTGTACCCCTACACCTTGTTTTTGAGTGACACTTCCAGGGGGGGAACTGAGTTACAAGGGGTAGTGGTTGAAATCTTCCCCTATGAAATGGGACCCTGTCTGCAGAGATAGCAGAGGAGGGCTTTAGGGAATCATATGCCTTGAAAGGGGCGGGGGGGGGGCAATTATTTATTATCGCCCGCCCCTAATTGTTTAGTGATATGGTCCCAGAATGTACCTGCTGTACCATTTAAGGTGGAACGGGAAATTTAGCTAGCTAGCTACCGAGAAATCAGCATACTAGTAGCAATTTTTGTATGCATGTTATTAAGAAAAGGACCATAATACATTGAAATGATGTTGAAGATAATACAATGATTATCATAATTTTTTAACAGAGAAAATTCTCACATTTGTGAGTTTCTTTGGTCTCTTGCAAAGCCATCTTTCTTTTTTCTAATAACACTCTCACCTGTTTGGAGTGAGCTTCTGAAAAACCTCCATTTGGAGGGCCATGTAGACCTAACAATTCGCCCCACCCCTCTATCTCAACAAAAACTGGGACACCCTACCCCTGGGCGTGAACGCACAAAATGGAGGGGTAAGGGCTAAGTGGTAGGGACGAGGGGTGAAATCGGATTGGGCCTAATAGCCTAGATAGAACATCAGCTGAAGGAAGCATATCCACAGTATGATATTTGTGGTGCCCAAGTAGCCTAGATGGCACAGACAGGAAGAATGTGTGCTGTTGTTAGGTGGTTACCATAACTATCAGCCTAAGGTGCATAAATAACAAGGAGAACAACAGTAAAAAATTACAGCAACTTTGAGTGCAGCCTAACTGGCCTAGATGGCACAGCGGCAAAGGTGGGTAATGGTCCTGTGACCTCAGCCCAGGTAGCCTAGTGCAACATCATCAACAGGGGGGTGGTTTGTGTTGCTATGACCCCAGTCTTACTGCACTGGAAGTAACCTAATTAGCCTAGATGGCACATAAACAGCAGGGAGGATATCAGCTGTAGATGGTTCTGGTACAATGTCCTCAGTCCAAGTAGCCGAGAAGGGACATCAGTGATGAGGAGAATATCGGTTGTTGGTGGTTTATGGTGCCATGACCCCTAGATGGCACATCAGCATTAGTAAGTGTTCTAAAGTGCTGTAACCTTAGCCTAAGTAGTCTTGATGTTGATAATATGGCAGGGATATTATCAATGGTAGGTTATTTCAGGTGTCATGACCCGTGTAAATGCTTTTATGCACAAGAGATTACATACAAGAGAAAATACACGCCTCCTAAAGTGCATCCAGAGTCTTTAAATATATTAATTTAATTGATTTCATATCCCTGAAATGCAGTTGAGTTGATGTTATACCGTGCTGGCAGTGCACTATGTCTGTACCAAGTGTCTCATAAAGGAGTGACCTTAATTAGACCATGTCGTTTGGCTTATCCACCTTCAGAAAGGCCTGTTGCTCACCCATTTTAGAGAGCCTGGTTAAATGTAATTAGGTCTAGGTCACAGATCTGTGTCCCTGCTCTTTTGCTTTGATTCAAAGCCGGGATCAAATGCTGGTTTGAGGTCACTTGACATATATGTATGTTTATTCATGATCTACGTCAACTTTAATCACCATGAACAAGTATTTCTGAACCCTGTACCACTTCTGTATGTGTGTTCAGGGTCTCTCTGAAGATTTGTGGGTGGCAACACTAATCTGCAGTGCAGACTTAATACGGTTAGCATGCCAGGCGTCTGTTGAGAGTTTTTGAGCTGCTCTGGGTTCAGCCATGCCCTCCCGCTGCAGTTTAGCATCTCAAGGGGTTGCGTGAGAGCAGACAGGGATGAGCTGTGCTGATCCCAAAAGGGCGATGTTGCGCCCAGTCCGTCCTGCTGTTTCTCTCTGCTGGCTTTTTTCAAAGGCCGAAGTTGCGCTCAGATCCATGTTTGGAAGAGTAGTGTCTAAGGGGTTGGCGAAAAAAATATAACATCATGATACTTGAACAGATTTTTTTTATAACATGCATCACTGTGTTTAGATTTTTTTTATCCCTTGTGTGGTGTTGGGTTCTGTGTGGTGTTGGGGTCTGTGGGACCCATTTTCAGTGTTTACCAAAAGAAAAAACGATGCAATCTATTATTGTTTTAACCTCAGATTCCTTGGCCTTTGCTCATTTTCTGTGAAGAACATATAAAATAACATATTTTCAGTGTCTTCACATTGTTCACCCCCTACACGTTTATATTACACATGTGGTGTTGGGGTGACCCCACGGGGAATAAAAGTGTGGAGGTGTTGTGTTCCTTCACTCTGTTCTCCTCCTCCGTGGCCTGCTGTTAGTGTGTGTGTCTGTGTGTGTAAGTGTTTGTATATATGTGTGTGTGTGTGAGGGTGGACAACATGGACAGGCTGCTGACTGGCTACAGCTGCTAAAGGAGGACCCTACACTGGACACTTGTGATATATTAAACATCTGGTATTTTTACATAAATTGTTATGGCTGTATTGATTTAAAAAAAAACAATAATGAGGTGGGTCCAACAGACCACTGAGTAACAAAAACATCAACACAACACAAGGGTTAAGATTTGTGGACATGTTGGATCAGAAGTGCAGCGAAACAGTAGAGCCACTATGAGTACAATACATTACACAGTTCTGCTATCTATCACAACATGAATAAAGCCTGCTTTACACTGCATGATTACAGCAGTCAAATACGTTACCTGCGTGTGATGCTGCATGAGATGCTGCAAAAACATCTTGGTCAAACTCCACGTCAGACTGTGCAAATTCAGTTCTGCCGCATGTCAGTGTACACAGTAAAGATTTCCTGGCGATAGAATTATGATGCAAGAAAATGACGGCATTCTGCATGTACTTTCTCTTTTCGCTGAAGAGTAGAGCCACATTTTAAATGATTAAGAAAGAGAGGTTAAAGCTGTTTTTGGCTGGGGGGAAAGGACTGTGTGGAATACTCATTCTTCAAAGTGAAC